TTGTGCATCCCAGAATGTTCCGTTCGTTTGTTGCCCTTGTAGGAGGCTCACGCTGGTGGCCTCATGGGACATTTTGGAGCCAAGAAAACCGAAAGTGTGCTCGTTGATCACTTCTTTTGGCCGCGCATGAGACGTGGAACGCTACGTGATGAGATGCGAAATTTGTCACAAAGCTAAGTCCCGCTTGAATCCTCATGGTTTATATACTCCTCTATCTATTCTGAATACTCCATGGGAAGATATTTCTATGGATTTTGTTCTTGGTTTACCACGGACTAAGAGGGAGAGCGACTCGGTGTTTGTGGTAGTTGATCGTTTTAGCAAAATGGCACATTTTATCCCTTGTCATAAGAGCGATGATGCTTCACACATTGTTGATCTGTTTTTCAGGGAAGTTGTGCAGCTACATGGAATACCATGCACGATTGTGTCAGACCGTGACACCAAATTTCTAAGCTACTTTTGGAAGACCTTGTGGGGAAAACTTGGCACCAAGCTCCTATTTTCCTCGACATGCGACCCACAAACTGATGGACGGACTAAAGTTGTCAACCGAACGTTGTCCATGATGTTGCGAGAAGTCCTCAAGAAGAATTTGAAGATGTGGGAAGAGTTCCTACCTCATGTGGAGTTCGCGTATAACAAGGCGGTACATTCAACCACTAAATTTTGCCCATTTGAACTTGTTTATGGATTCAAACCTATTGCTCCCATTGATCTTTTGCCTTTGCCACTGCAGGAACGAACCAGCCTTGATGCAAGTAAGTGTGTTGATTTCGTCAAGAAACTTCATGCCCAAGCAAAGGAGAACATTGAGAAAATGACTGAACAATATACGAAGCGGGTAAACAAGACCAGGAAGAAGCTGGTGTTCAAGCAAGGAAATTTGGTATGGGTACACCTTCGGAAGGACAGTTTTCCCGAGCAACGCAAGTGCAAATTACAGCCACGCGGTGATGGACCATTGCTACCTCTTGAGCACTGCGTTGGTTTTCCCTTGAAGAGGAAAGGGTGATGCAGCAAAGTAGTGTAAGTATTTCCCTCAGTTTTTGAGAATCAATGTATCAATCCAGTAGGAGGCCACACGCAAGTCCCCCGTACCTACACAAACAAATAAGAACCTCGCAACCAACGCGATAAAGGGGTTATCAATCCCTTCACGGTCACTTACGAGAGTGAGATCTGATAGAGATAATAATGATAAGATAAATATTTTTGGTATTTTTATGATATAGATTGAAAGTAAAGATTGCAAAGTAAAATAGATTGGAAACTTATATGATGGAAAATAGACCCGTGGGCCATAGGTTTCACTAGTGGCTTCTCTCAAGATAGCATAAGTATTACGGTAGGTGAATAAATTATTGTCGAGCAATTGATAGAAAAACGAATAATTATGAGAATATCTAGGCATGATCATGTATATAGGCATCACGTTCATGATAAGTAGACCGACTCCTGCCTACATCTACTACTATTACTCCACACATCGACCGCTATCCAGCATGCATCTAGAGTATTAAGTTCATAAGAACAGACTGACGCATTAGGTAAGATGACATGATGTAGAGGGATAAACTCAAGCAATATGATATAAACCCCATCTTTTTATCCTCGATGTCAAAAATACAATATGTGTCGTTTCCCTTTCTGTCACTGGGATCGAGCACCGCAAGATTGAACCCAAAGCTAAGCACTTCTCCCATTGCAATAAAGATCAATCTAGTAGGCCAAACCAAACTGATAATTCGAAGAGACTTGCAAAGATAACCAATCATGCATAAAAGATTTCAGAGAAGAATCAAATATTGTTCATAGATAGACTTGACAATAAACCCACAATTCATGGGATCTCGACAAACACACCGCAAAAAGAGTTACATCGAATAGATCTCCAAGAAGATCGAGGAGAACTTTGTATTGAGATTCAAAGAGAGAGAAGAAGCCATCTAGCTAATAACTATGGACCTGAAGGTCTGAAGTAAACTACTCACACATCATCGGAGGGGCCATGGAGTTGATGTAGAGGCCCTCCGTGATCGATGCCCCCTCTGGCGGAGCTCCAGAAAATGCCCCACGATGGGATCTCTTGGGTACAGAAGGTTGCGGCGGTGGAAATAGGGTTTCGTGGTGCTCCTGGAGGCGACATCAGGGCCGTGGGAGGCGACATTAGGTTCCGACTCAAGGTCGGGTCACGTGAGGGATTTTTACGCACGTCCTGAGCCGAATTAAGCATCGGGCTCGGAGTCAGTGATTTGAGTTGACCCTTGGCTTGGTGTGATGCCTAGCTCGTGAAGACTAGCTTTCTGAGGACATCCGTGGTGTACTCCATGTCGTCGAATCTAATGATCTGGCCTGGAGCGAGGGTTTCGACCTGGCCAAGGTGGTCGGTCAAGTCAGAGAAGAGAGTGATGCAGCCGAAGACAAAGGTCTACCTCGGCACGAGGTCGCGTCGGCACCGATCTGCTAGTTAATCTTGATCCACATCGTATCATGGTGATCGCTTAACGGGATCTACATGGGCCACCAATGATGGAACTAAATCCGACAGATCTTAGGATATAGGGAGTCCCAAGCTAACTATCTAGGCACGGCAGTAACAAGGACACGAGGTTACAGTGTTGGATTGAGTACAAAACTGATGTCCTACTCTGAAATTGTTGTGTGTTCTTTACTTCTTTATGTACCTTTCCCCCGGGGTTTATATAGATACCAGGAAGGGGGGGCTAGGGTTACACCATCCTAATTTGCTACTTACGAAGAAACAGGGTCTCTAATGAATCCAGTACACGACAGGTTTTCCGAAGCCTTCCGTCTTCACTTCATGGGCCATCTAGTATGGCCCACTCCTAAACCGACAAAAGGGGTCCTGGGCCCGGCCCACCTGGTTGGAAGCCGTCGTGGTGAGAGGCCCTCTAGTCGGGACACCATCAGGTGCCAAGTCATACTTGTTGTCGGCAGGTGCTACGCACGGTGGCTCCTATAGAGGTGACAATTCTTGCATGTTGTTGGATCGAAAGTGATATGATGATGGGTCAGTGGCGGAGGCAAAGCGGTATAGGACGTCTTTTTCTTTTGGTATTCCTCCAGTGGCATCCTGCTATCGAGGCGCCGATAGCCAGACGATAGATGATGGTACAGGCGGCTTCAACGACGAGTATGAGCACTCTGATAGAAACACAAGATCTCTGATTAGCCTATGTCGATGTGCGTCTACGTGTGTCTTCGCTAAAGGTAATGGATGAAAGCTTGGCTTTGGGGATGAAAATCTCGAGGCCGACCTATGGTTGTGCTCGTCATCATCAGCGCACGCACAACGTTTTCTTCCTGAAGGCTTAACCTAGGAGTAGTATACTTTTCATTTTACCACAGGGTTAGTGGTTGTCTGATGGAGCGACTGTCGCTAAGCACACAACCTTGGTTTTTTCTTTTCCAAGTTGAATTTGTTTGGTTGTTGGATTTTCTCTCTTCGTCCAATAAAAATTGTGTTGGATTTATCTAGATACGGATGTGTCTATACACGTTTTAGTATTAGATACATCTGTATCTATAAATTTAAGACAACTTTTTTTAGGATGAAGGCAATATATGGTTGTGTGCATTTTTCTATTGCAAAGGACGAGGGTTAATTATCATTTTTTCTGGAAGAAAAGGATAACAAAGCGATGCCGAGTTGAAACAACAGGCGGCCTTTTGTCACCGTTGAAATAAGAAAGAATGGGCTACGTTGGCAGAGTCATGAGGTGTTACTGACCAAGAATTGCCTCCAAAATTCGAATCCACATGTTGGACGATCGCTCGCCATTGGTCCATTGTTCAATCCATGAAAAATGGCTAGCCCTCCACTCAAGAGAAAATGTCTAGCCCGGAAAATAAAAATAAAAGGTCCAGAAAGTGTTGTAGCACTACGCCGAACAGATGCTCTGCTTTTTCCCGGTTTTCGCAGGGCAGGGGACCCGACCCCGCGCCGCGCCGCGCGCTTCGATCGCGCGAAACCATTTTGGCGCCACCGGTTCCCGCCGCGTTTGGTCTGGTGTGCGCGGCTGATTCTCCTCTCCATCGACGGAACAGGCAGTTTGGACGTTGCAGATGAGTCGCAGCGGTACGCTTCACCGTCGACGTGCTCGCACGGCCGCCGTAGAAATATGGGGCCACTTTTGTGCCTCGCTCGCAACAAAGTGCCCGATCGCTTGTCACTTGTCAGTCAGTTGTCACGCAAACCTGCATTTGGTGTACTGGTACAGTACTGCTTACTACCCAGCCCATATCACGTCCAGAGGATCTTGCTTTTGGGCCCAAAGTTACTGCCCAAGATCTCGTTTTCCATACGGTAGATTCCTCCGCTACGTAACAACCAAATAAATCCAAGCGTCTCTGGTATTGTAGGCCGATACAGTATTGTACTCCAAGTCTGCGACGAAACAGCCAAGATTTCGTGCAAAAAAAGCCAAGATTTCGTGCAAAACAGTGGGGCCAAGCAAGCATCACGTCTGACGCGCCGCAATCGGGCCATAGAGGATTGGTCCCGCTGCGCCCCTAACTAAAACCCTACCTAATCCTTGGGAACCCTATCCACGAGGCATTTCTTCGAACGCCCTGCGCGCCCACGGGATGGCACGCGCGTTTCGTCGAACGCCCTGCGCGCGCCCACGGACCGGCACGCGCGTTTCGTCGAACGCCCTGCGCGCGCCCACGGACCGGCACGCGCGTTTCGTCGAACGCCCTGCGCGCAGGTTGGCATGGTTATGCAGAGACAATTCCTCGAACAGGGGCAGCACAAGATGTTTATTTATTCAGAAGCAATACCTTGATTCATTACAATACATCAGTACATCACCAATAAGAGACAGCAAAATAACAGTAAATAAAAACATTGTGGAGCACCCAGCACACATGTATCACCGCTACAACTACTAGGACTAGGGGGAGCAACCAGACGCGGGGGGCGAGCGAGCGAGCGAGCTATTGGTAATGGAGACTGCATATCATCATCGGGCCGATCAGAAGTCCTCGTCGATGCTGAAGACGTGCTGGGTCGCGGCGCCGCCGTTGAGGTTGGACATGACGGACGCCTTCTGGTACTCGCCGACGCGCTTCTCGAAGAAGTTGGTCTTGCCCTGCAGCGAAATGAGCTCCATCCAGTCGAACGGGTTGGTGGCGTTGTACAGCTTCTTGCAGCCCAGCGCCATGAGCAGGCGGTCGGCGACGAACTCGATGTACTGGCTCATGAGGTCGCCGTTCATGCCGACGAGCGCGCAGGGGAGCGCGTCGCAGACGAACTCCCTCTCGATGTCCACGGCCTCGGACACGATCTCGAAGACGCGGGACTCGTCCAGCTTGCCGCGGAGGATGTCGTAGAGGAGGCAGGCGAAGTCGCAGTGCAGGCCCTCGTCGCGGGAGATGAGCTCGTTGGAGAAGGTGAGGCCCGGCATGAGCCCGCGCTTCTTGAGCCAGAAGATGGCGCAGAAGGAGCCCGAGAAGAAGATGCCCTCGACGCAGGCGAAGGCGACGATGCGCTCCGCGAAGCGCTCCCCGCCGTCGATCCAGCGGAGCGCCCAGTCGGCCTTGCGGCGCACGGCGGGGATGGTGTCGATGGCGCGGAAGAGGCGGTCCTTCTCGACGTCGTCGCGGATGTAGGTCTCGATGAGCAGGGAGTACATCTCGGAGTGGATGTTCTCGATGGCGATCTGGAAGCCGTAGAAGGCCCTGGCCTCGGCGACCTGCACGTCGGACATGAACCTGGAGGCGAGGTTCTCGAGCACGATGCCGTCCGAGGCGGCGAAGAAGGCGAGCACGTGGGAGATGAAGTGGCGCTCGTCGTTGGAGAGCGTCGTGTCCCAGTGGCGCGCGTCGGAGGAGAGGTCCACCTCCTCGGCGGTCCAGAAGGAGGCCACCGCCTTCTTGTAGAACTCCCAGATCTGCGGGAACCGGATGGGGAACATGGAGAAGCGGTCCGACGACTCCGCCAGGAGCGGCTCCTCCGCGTCGCAGGCGGGCACCATCGAGAGGGCGGCAGGCATCTTCGGAATTCGGCGGCGGCGGCGCCGGCCTCGAGGTGGGAAGGATTTTCTGCT